TATATATATATATATATATGTATGCATGTGTGTGTGGGGTTTTTTATTTTGTGAAAAGCATTTGAAATTTTAGGGCCATTACAAAAGGTGCGATCGGTGGATATCATCTTTGTAATGACCAAATGGGTATATGGTTTGATCAAGGTTAGTTTGCTGTGCTCATAACTTGGACATCCATTTTACAGACGTAGACCAACAGATGATTGTGATGGAGCTTTTCATACTTCATTATATACATTTATAGTTTGGGCTATTAACCCTGTGTCCGGCCCAAAAGAAAGAGGCCATAATCTGTTACTTGTTAGCTAGCATATGCACTACTTCAACATTCTAACTTAAAGGAACCAAATAAATAAAGAGTAACATATCTTGTAAGATTCTTGAGCAGCTTAGCCCTATGACATTTTCAGGCAATTAATGTGTAAAATATTCTTCTATCCTTCTTTCGAGCTGTTATGCACAAATTGGAGAATTAGTGAATTAAAGATTTCCTGTGAAATCTTGTCAGAGATTAGTTTTGTCAGTCCAAAGTGGTACTCAACACTACCTGAATAAAGTTCAGTTTTCATTCTGCATGTAAATACGTTCCCACCTTTATTACTTGACTACTTAACTTTTTGGTCTTGGGATAATGAAAAGTAATGTAGGAAAAGAATAAGTTTGATGCCATATTCACCATAATCTCCATCTACATAACTGCCCTACACAAAAAAGGCACTACTTTGATGTTGAGCTATCAAATGAACGGCAAATTCGGCCTCAAGGAAAGAATCTTCTTTATACTTTGTCTAAGAAAGAAAAATAAATATGGCATCTAAACATTCTTCGACAATCCTCGTGTCTTTTCTATAGAAGAAGACATCAAAGAAAGAGTGAGACATTAATTGCATGGTAAACTTGATTTCCTCTAACATTTCGATAATCACACATGTACAACATCATTATGTTGTTACATTAGAATACCCGAAACTAATTGTGGAAAGTTGAGACATAAGAAATGCCATCAACGGTGAGGGATCACAGGATTGTTCGGAGGATGGCAAGTCTTCCTCGAAGCATAATGGGGGGTATTTCAAGGGCAATGGGGGATGGTATGTGCTTAGTAGGAATAGGAAGAAGAAGAACAAACCAACGTGCACATTTTCCATCGCAGCCTCAAGATCATGTTCCACAACCACGTGATCACGTAGTGGTTCCTGAGGAATGGAGTTTCCTAGAGAGCTTTGAGCAGCAATATGGCACCAAACATCCTTTCTTCTATGCTTGCCGTTTAGGGGAAGCCATGAAGTTAGCAGAACAAGAGCACAAGTTCTTGCTCATGTACCTTCACTCTCCTGACCACCCTTTTGCAAACGTTTTCTGCAAGGAGACCCTGTGTTCGGAGCTAGTGACCCAGTTTCTTGATGTGAATTTTGTTTGCTGGGGTGCTCTTGCAGATAGAGGAGAGGGACTGCAAATGGTTGCAACGCTAAGTCCTGCTACCTTTCCCTGTTGTGTTGTCATAGCCCCTGCTTCTGGTGAGAGCATAGCAGTGCTGCAACAGGTTGGTTCAATTTTGGGGTTGATAACTCTCTTTATCACACACACATTATAGCCTTTTGTCATGGATTATGCTTGATGCTTCAAATATGCAAGATGTTTTAAAAAAACTGGATAAATTAGCTATTGTTCTGTTAGTCTATTTATCTTTTGAAATTTATTGAAAATTATAAAATTTTGTGAGTTTTGTAACCTATTTAGTATTTAATGTTTTTAATGAATTTTAACCTATAAAAAGGATTGTGTTGAGATGAGTGTATTGCTAGCACAGTTATGATATTTCTGGGGATAAAATTATTACGGTGAGAAAATAGTATTCTAGCCCAAGGTAGGAATGCCTCTTGACTCGTAAAGTCTCTACAGAGAATTTACATTTATCTCAATCTAAAGAAACTATAGGAGACTGAAACTATGATTTTTGTGATGAAATTATGCTGATCCGTGAGAGCATCATTAGTCACAAACTCAATATTTGAGACAGTTTGTGTTGTGCTCATTTTTTCTTTTGGTTTTCAGCTAGAGGGACCCCTTTCACCAGCTGAGCTAGTGGAGATTCTACAGAGAACTTTGGAAGAACAAGGGGTGGCTTTTGGAAGTGCCAAAGCCAAGCAGGAAGAAAAGATCCGAACAGATCGTAGGCTTAGAGAAGAACAAGATGCTGCTTATCTGGCAGCTTTGCAAATTGACAAGGTGTATACCTCTCCACTCTCTATAGTACCAAGTTAAGCTTAACCAAAATATACTCTCTTATTTTTATTGCTTTCCTAAGAACAATGGTTAACAAATACTCATTGCTAAATGTAGAAAAAAGACAAACTCACTAATTTATCTTCGAGAGAGAGAGTTCAAAAGCCAGTGGAATCTCAGAACAGCACTAATTATGGAAGAATGGGGACCAATTCTACCAATGTCACTAAACAGCACAACAAAGTGAATGAGTCCTCTGGAGAAAAACAAGACAAGGGAATTGCAAATAAAGGAAGCGAGTCTCAGCCCACACAGGTACATATACTAGAGTCCTACACAACAAAGTTGAAAGCATGACAAAGTTTAGCTTGTGTTTTTAACTTTTGTAAATTTTTGTGTGTTGCAGATACTGATAAGATTTCCAAACGGTGAAAGAAGAGAGCATACTTTCCTCTACACAGACAAAATCCAGTCCATTTTCTCATACATCGATTCATTAGGTTTGCCGGGGATTGGTAACTACAGGTTGATATCAAACTTCCCAAGAAAAGCTTATGGTGTTGATCAAATGAGAATGACACTCAAAGAAGCTGGCTTGTATCCTAAAGCTAGTGTGTTCCTAGAGCCTTTGTGAACTCGAGTCCCATAAAAGGATAAATTATTACATGGTTTGAGAAAAGCTCCAACCATGTAATAATTAATGCCGGTTAAGATGCACATGTGGCAACATAAATTTGGATTGCAATTAATCAAAATGAGAGCCAGAAAGATTATGTGGACTTCACTTGAACTCTTGAAGTGATTAAGATTTGAGTGCATCACCAAAACAATTTGTGGACTTCTTTCATATGATATTATTTCTTCGTTTCTTTTCTTCATCTTGAAAAACCAGGCCCATAAATACTTTCACCATTTGGCTATTGTCCAAATTGGAACATATTTGTCTGCGACTTTTTCCTTATTCACCGAGTACCGAATCGATTAAGTTATTAACAACTGTGATAACCAATAAACAAGCGATAAGTTAAGAAAGCGACTGTCTCCCAGTTACAAGTCCCTATACTACTAAGAACAAGTTCGAAAATCACCTACAAACCAAATTTGATGAAATAAATAAACAAAAAGCGAATAGCTTGAAGATGAAAATTGCATTATAATATATATA